TAGCACTTGGATGAGGAACTACCAGGGAATATTAGGGAAATATATATTTATATAGGAAAAAGGCAATGGCAAATCACTTTCGTAATGCTGCAAAGAGAACTCTGTGCTTTTATTCACTTGGCATTCAAATTGTGATAACATCATTTCTTTACCAGTTAGAATCTAAAAGGGTGTTTATTAATATTATAGAATTCAAATGATGCAGTATGTCATACTATCTATCAACTATATATAGTCACTTCTAAATAATTGCCCATAATTTACCATTTTTTTAGTGTTCCAGGCAGATTCATCAAGTTAAAATTCTAGTTCCTTTCCCCAAGGGTTAAGAGAACAATTGCATTTTTATTTATATTCATATATTTGTTTCCCACCTTTATTATTTTACAAATAACTCAAGGAGGCAAACATATCCAACATACCTTCCCAAAACAACAACCTTGTGAGGTGAGTTAGGCTAAGAGAGAGTGACTAACAAGTCACCCAGCCAGCTTTCATGTCTAAATCAGGACTAAAACTCATTATCTCCCGCTTTATAGTCTGGTGTCTTAACCAAATCTAGTCATCAAACTGGATTTGATTACTTTTCTGTAGAATTAAAGTTTTTTTTTTGTTATAAGTGGTGCGCATATAATATAGTTTGAAGAGTTGTATAAAATTTCAGAGCTTAACAAATTTATTGCATTTCCCTTACCTGGGGCCAAGTTGGAATTTAGGACCAGTTCTTCTGTAGCATGTACAGATAGTCCTCAACTTACAACCACAATTGAGCCCAAATTTTATGTTAAGCGAGACATTGAGTTTTGCCCCATTTTACAATTTTTCTTGGCATAATTGTTAACTGAATCACTGCAATTGTTAACAGATTCACTTAATTCCCCATTGAATTGCTTGTCAGAAGGTCATAAAAAGTCACATGATCTCAAGACACTGCAAAGGTCATAAATATGAGTCCGTTGCCAAGTGTCTAAATTTTGATAACAGGACCATGGGGATGCTGCAACAGTTATTCATAAGTGTAAAAATGGTCCTGTAACTTTTTTCAGTGATGATGTGACTTTGAATGGTCATTAAATGAACTGTTGTAAATTGAAAACTACCTGTATTTTACTGGACTGATTTAGGCTTTCCCATGAAATAATCAAAACTCTAATCCTATAAACTCCATTATTATTTGTCATAACATCTGCATTTTCTTTGCAACAGGCTATATTCACCTTTTTAGTTTTGACTTTCACCTCTAACAAATGCTGAATTTAATATTAGACTATGATGAACAGTTTTGTGCCCTACTTGTATTCAAGAAGATTCTGTACCTAACTTAAATGCTGGATACATTTTAGGTAGAATAATACTAAATTTCTGTTTCTTTTTTTTTTTTTCTAAAGAAGATTTAACTACAGTAAAACTTTAATTTAATGGCACATTCAGGTAGAGGGATGTCCATTAACCTTAATGCCTATTAAATCCTAATTTACATGGTTTAAACCAGAGGTGGGTTGCTGCCGGTTCAGCCAAACTGGTAGTAGCGGCGGCGGGAGGCTCCGCCCAGACACTTCTGCGCATGCACAGAAGCGTCCCGCTTCTGAACCAGTAGTAAAAAGATTAGCAATCTACCTCTGGTTTGCACCAATCATCATTATTTGAGAAATTGCATAATTCATGCAAATAATATATGGCAGTAAACTCTTGATTTAATGAATAATTTAAGCAAATAACATGTTCAGCGTATTTGAGACTATTAAATTGAGGTCAGTCAAGGATTTACTGTAAAATAGTACCCAAAACAAATGAACAAACCAAAAAAAATCTGGGCAATTCTTTCTTGACGATCTGTAGGTAATTTATTCAACCTCCTAGGCAAAGTAGTTGACAGTAATGGGGAGGAGAGATGCAAAATCTAGCAATCTTTGATGACGACGTTCCAGTTGCTATAACCCAGAAAATAAAATTGCTTCACAATTGCTAAGCATGCTTTTCAGGCAATGGATGCATGGTCCACATGTTAAGGAAGAGGAATGTGAGGCTTGATTACTAGCTTTGAATAGAATTTCAAAGATTTGTTAGATTAACATTCCTTGTTTTAATTGGCAAGGAATTGTGTTGGAAGACTTCTGGCTCTTCCTTTCCCTTCTGGGCAAAATACAGAATCTGGGCTCATAAAACCTTTATCTTTTAAACAGATAAATATAATGATGGCATTAATATAATGTTCCTCTAACGCAGGGATGACAGACTCAATTTCATTGAGGATTGCATCAGGGTTGTGTTTGACCTCAGGAGTGGGGCATGGCCAGCTCGACATCACTTAGGTTGGGGGTGCCTGTGGTGGCCTGGGTGGCCTCCATTGTCTCCAGCAGAGAAAGGCGAGACCAGGGAGAAGGCCAAACAGTTGTACTCCAGAGGAGCCTTGCCATCCCTCTCACACCACTCAGAAGACCCTCGGATGGTGGCACAGGCTGTCCAGAGAACTAGGCAGCAGAGGACAAGCACCCATCCTGGCCCTCAAGCTCCCAGGGCATCAGGACCCCACAGCTGAGCCCTACTTCCTCAAGGGGGTGGCCAGCTGCACTTACCTCTTCGAGGCTGCTGCTGCTTTATTGCTCTCCTTGGCCAGGTTGGTCATGGTGCGTACGAGAGGGCAATGTGTGTGGATCAGGGAAAGGCCCACTCTCTACGCAAGGAGACCCAGCTTTGTAACCAAAGCATCCTCAGTGATAGGATGGGAGATTACTAGGAGATGGCAGGAGGAGGAGACAAGGGGATGGTGAAAGGGCAGCAGGGCTTCTGTTGGCCAAGTCCTCAGATCTTCCCTCCCTCTCATTGTTCCTTCCTTCCTTCCTTCCTTCCTTCCTTCCTCCTTTCCTTCCTTCCTTCCTTCTTTCTTGCACCGAAGAAATTTTAGATATCTGGTGAATTGGTAGATTCTCTTATTTTTGACAGCCCTAATAGTGAGATAAAAAGCTATTATAGACATAAATATATGTAGGAGCAGCAAGAATGTATTCATAATTATCATTGTTGGAATGTTTCTACATCCCATTTCTGGTGGTAATCTGTTTAATGATATATTTAAAAATGAGACTGAGTAATAGTTTTGGGGTAGGAGAGGAGAGGACATTTATCTGTGTATTTCCCATTCTTTCATGTTTTATAGTAAAGTAATATGCTATGCCATGCTGCAACCAATGTTCCCTCTAATTTTTTTTCAGTGTGAGCAGAAAAGTATAGTGTTTGAGCGGCACATTTTCATGCCTGAG